TTAAAAAATGTGCTAAAATTAGCGGGAGTCGTAAGCTCGGGACAAATCCCAAGGTTTGCTGTTGAATCCCAAGGTCCCAAGGTCGGGTTCAATATCCCAAGATCTTGGGACAAATCCCAAGCTTTGGTAACCCTGGGTGTCATACAACTCACGGTGGGAAAAAACGATATAGCATTAGCCATATCCTCAGCTGAAGCTTTTGTTTGGGCTTGGGTAAAGTATTCATTTCCAAAGGCGCATTTCTATGTGTAGCTTTCTTGATACCTTGACATTCGTCCGGCAAGCGTAGTCATTAAGCACAGACGATATTATGTCCGGTTTTGATGCGAAATTGAAATTAGACGAGATAAATTTGCGAAGCTCGGAAATTATTCACTATTATTGGTGTTTCCATCAGACCACAAACTCATGCTATCTCAGATGACCCTGCAGATATTCCTGAGACTGCTGAGCTTAACAGAGCGTAATTAAATACGTAAAGTTTGATGATATCCATGTGATTAAGTCCATTCCATCAGCTAGAAAATACACACAAGAGTAATGTTGAACAGGATCGTCTGGTCTGCATGCGGCTAAAATAGTCATCAGAAAATATTTGCCTTCCTTCAAAGTCATCAAATCTAATAACCTGACAAAAAATCACAGGAAAGAGCAGGATTGTTACTTATGAGCTTCTAATCATCTTTATAGCATACTAGATCAGTTGTCTCTCATCGTCCATCAGAATTCCTTATGTCATCCCAAGCATTCATCCATTTTTAAAACGTGTCTTTGAGCTAGATTGCCAGCTACCGGAGTTCTGATGCTGGATGGCTGTCGTCAAATCAGGATAAATCGCCGGGGTCCTGCTGTGCCTTTATTCAACGTTCTTCGCCCAGTCGCTTCTCCATTTATCTTTGCTGAATTGCTTTTTAGTGTGGTGCAAAATATCAGCCCTGCCAGAGCGTTTGGAAGATTTAGAGAAAAGTTGGACTTTATAAGAATCAAATGTTCATTCAAATGCGCTGAAACTCTGAGTCCTACATGAATAAATAACATGTTGGCTATCGTCACATTGCTTGCTGATGAAATAAGATAACCTGACGATGTGAGCTCAATTCGGTCAAATTTAATAGCTGCATGAATCCCCAAGTTTCATATTACACTGTATGCATCGCGCTATGTCACAGAAAGTCGCGAAGACTTATAGAAATCCATTTTTTCACATTCGCACAATTGCGTGATTCCTTCGGTCTTCTGCCGACGGCGAACTCAAGAACGTCGAGGTCAGATAACTCAATACCGCTGAAATATCTCCTTTCACAAGACAAAGGCCAGCAAACAATAACACTTCAACTGCTCTTTAATCCCTCCGCCAGCACTGTAAGCCATCTCTAAAAGCTGGATCTCCATATCTTGATTCACAAAGTCACGCTGACTGTTAAATCCCTATGGTACCAGCTGCTGTGCTCATCACAGAAAAAAACACTCTACGTGTACCTCGTAGAGTACTTTCGAAGAGCATCTTTCGGGAGTAGCTTAGGAGAGTATGTACATGGGGAGCACCTGGGGAGTACCTTCTCCCAAACGGCCTTGCAGTGCAGTGCAATAATCATCACATAATCACGCAGTTCGGCGTACACTCAAACACGCACCGGTTGAGATTTGACTGGAGTTCCGAGAAACGGCCAAAGCGCGTCTCTGCAAATCAGTGGAGCTAAGTGGGTCCCGGTTAAATCCGAGTTGATGATGATTTTAGCTTATGAATGCCAAGCCAGCTAAGGTTGCGCAGTTCTGCCGGTAGGGATTTACGCACAGCTAAGGTGTTCGTAATTCGGGCGTGAAATGGCTGAACGATTGCCGATCTGACATTCAAGGAAACGTGTAATCACCAAAGCTGAATTTGATCAGGAACAGTGTTGTTGCGTCAATACATCCCAATTAGTAATCTGAAGGTCACACAGGTAAGCGGACGATGGTACGGAGTACGGACACAGCTGTTCATCGATTATTTGTTACTGTGCTGTTAGTGCAGGATTTCATAAGTTAAATCCAGGTTAAGCAAATTTTATTGGTTGCTTTTCTAGATTCAGTATGAAGTGGCATGCTATCGAGGACGCGGCGTTGTCAATTGTCATTACAACTGAACTAAGTACCCATTGGTTCATCAGCCAAAAGAAGAAGAAAAAACTTCTGCTCAGCATATTGCTTATGTCCAACCTCTAATCAAAGTGTCATCGCCCACCGTACCCTGGAGTTGACATACAGGTACGCCCGCTGACAGTCTGACACGCCATCTGACAGCCTGCCACGCCCCTGCACTCAGCCTGACAACCTGACACGCCCACCAAACTCACACCCTGGCAGTCCCCACCCGTCATATCCGACACTTCCAACATCCAGCGATGACAAACGGACTTGCGTGGTACGCTATCACCAACACAGCAACTGACGCGTCCATGGGCCATCGAAGGGCCACCTAGACCTCCCGCTGAGCCCCCGACGCTTGTCATGCCACTGGTGAACAGCGATCACTCACCAGGCCTTACACGGTGGTCCTTCGTGACGTGGCCACGCCACGCAATACACATCCACACCAGTGCGGTGGCGTTGTGTTGTTTGATAGCAGTAGTGGACAAAGGGCATGCGGTGTTACTGTATGGGTTTGAGTGTGTGTACTTCATAGGAAGCTGGTGTCAGCATGTAATGCATGGATATGCGTGGGTTATCAGGAAAGCCAAGTTTCTTAGTTGGAAGTGAATCATAAACTTCGATATGGTAGGGAGTAAAAGGAACTGCACACGCCTAAGTGTGTGAAATCCCTTGAAATGTATGATTATATGTTGTATGTCCTAAAATATTAGACTTAGACACATTCGGGCTGACATTTCGAGCAATTTGTTTGGACGTTTCAGCGCAATCAACTAATTAGAAACCTCCTTGCCGAACTAAATAAAACATTGCTTGGAGACCTTCAGCAACATCCCTCCGGTCATTTTCAACACTATCATTGCCTCCCACTACATCTAATTGTACCCGACACTGTCCATAACCCTGCAGTGACCTGCACTTGCCCAGCGTTAGTGACCCCTGACGCAACTCGCACGGGATTGCATCAGTTCTGTATCACTAGGCGCAGAGGCTTCCCTGCTCCCGTCCCTCCCACTCGTTTCGCTCTGCCCTTTCCCAATGATTAACGTAAGGCTACTTCCACGGGGCAATTCCTCCCTCCTCTCGCCTCTCGTCCCACTAAACCTAACTGTGGCACGAGAAATACCAGGTCCCGCGTTGCAACGCTAGTTGGCCGCTGGAAGCAGCGTGAAGTGCAGGGAAGAGTCTAATTCGAGGAAGCGCGGACGCTGCGCTGCATTATCATAATTCTGACTGCTTGGCATGGTCAGAAGAGGTGCAACTTTGAAGCACAAGTCTCGTGCATATGAATACGAAGTTATGCAAGCGCAATTTTAGTTCTTTCATCTAAAAAGAAAACTCGAGGACATATATTGAACAAGTTGAGTAGCCCTGGCTGGAAGTTTTCCACAACCGGTGCTTATTGCACTCAATATTTCATCTCTTATGACTCAGACCTCAGTGAACTTCCAACAACAAACCAGCGCTTCTCGTTTTGCGGTGCTGACCGTATCATCCCCCGTATCCATGACAACGAAACGCCCGCTGTGTCACCGCTCGTCCGCACTTCCTCGTTGCAACTTAGAACGTGCAGAAACCGGATATCTGTGGCTGCTGCATGTAGTTGAACGGAACCGGTCCCCGTTAGTGCGGCGTTGCCATTTGCTAAAACCAAACCGGGCGGCCAATAGATTGGCATCAGTATAGAGTTTCGGGCTGAAGTGATGTTTCTAGTTAGGTACAGAGTTCGACGGCATGTTTTTTGCAGTCGCTCAAAAGTGTGTCAGTTGCGGATTCTGCGGTCGGAAAATGAAATAATAAACTGGGACCCGCGGCCCAAGAATCCTTTAGTGACAGTTATGATCAACAAGGCAGGAAGGAAGGGTACCTACCTAATTATTATCAACATGAATTTAGGCCAATGAATGTAGTCTACCCTACCAGTTTACTGTAAGTTACATTAATTACGACAGCCTAATTGTAGACTAGAGGTGGCAAAAGATGAAAATTTTGGGAACCAGACTCGAACCAGACCCGGCTAGACATTTCTGGAACCAGTCGGACCCGGTCTTAGTTGGAATCGGAACCAGTTGGACCCGTTCCCCAAAAGTCAATTAATACAAACTGCTTGAAGGTATCATTAGTTGCATCATGTAAAACAGCCTATTTCCCACTGCCACTGGGAATACTCATGAGCTACTGTGTGCAAAGAAACATTCGCTTCATTAACTTCATATTTTGCAATAATGTGTAGTGTGCAAGATATATAGTTTGTGGTAGGACCCGATTGGACCCGTCAGAAATTTTCCAGGAACCGGTCTGGACCCATATGGGTCCAGACTGGTTCTTTGGACCGGGTCCTCGGGTCCACATTTTGCCACCTCTATTGTAGACCCCCTTGCATCAGAAGAAGACGGCCCAACGCCTTCCTGACATCATGGTTATAGCGGAGCAAACACAAACCAGAGGCACATCATACTTAGCAAGACCCAATCCATTGCATCATATCTGGTTAGGGATACCGTTTAGCATGTTGAGTGTTGACCCAGCAACCGTATCTATGCCACCGATTGACTGATATCCCTCGTTAACGTTTCGAAGCTGGCCAGTTTCTTGTGGCAAGGCTTCATACACAAGCACTTGTGTTTATCGTGGCGAATAACCAGTGTTTATAAAGCATCGGACATCCTCGGAGATACAAAGAAACGAAGCTTCCTGGGATCTGGCCGTATCGCTGCCATGGAAAATCCAAGCAGTCACTGACCATAAAGCAACATACATATTCTGTTGTTAGCATCAACAACCAGCAGCATACTGTGAACACCATCAGCGCCCCAAACTGACGTTATAAAAACACAGCATTTTGACCATGACACGAACTGAAGATATGCCCTTATTTGACCCCATCCTCGTGAACACTGAACATACCTGTTGACGTCCACATCAGTTGTCTTCAGAATGGCTCTAGCCTTCTCCAGTTGACCGTGTTCGACAGCAGCGTACAGAGCTGTCAACGTAAGCAACTGTCAGCAATGAGTCCCCCACTGGCGAATGATAAGGTTACAATGCAAGGCTGTGATCAAATAAGAACGTCGGATTGTGGGCCCAGTCCTTCGATGAGGAACATCACCAGCGTATAAGTTTTATTATTGTGTGGCAAGAGTACAGTCTAAACGGCGTAGATTCGGGATGCATTAACCACGTGTAACTTCGCAATTTCGCCATGCCTGAAATAAAAAGTCGTCTAGAGATTTTGAGGTTTTACATGTAAGAATGGAGCACCATTTTCCGCCCATTGTAAATGCACGGGTTCAGGAGTACGAATCTATACCACTTCAGGAATAACAACATGCGACGTAGATTCGCATTTCTTTCGTCGCCGTATTTAAGAACAGTACTAGTAGCAATGCAATGACATTGCATTCACCGTTGCAGTCAAAATGTACACAATCAGTGCACGAAATCGGAGCTGTGTTATTCCTTTCTTCAACAATGAATGAAAAAAATACGCTGTACCAAGGAATCTAAGGCAGATAGGCATGTCCGCTACAGATGCCTTTGGTCACCTACCATGGTATCATGAATGGCTGTGACGCAGTATGACTATAGTTGTGCAGAAATGAAAGCCTATGCTGAAGTCTTCATAAACATCATGACATTGTTATAGTAAGGATCGGAAGTGATAGTAAGAGCACCAAGAAGCATTACATCAGATTCTTACGCGATTCTGCTCGTGAGACAGTTCAGCGAATTTTGCTGCCGGTGGAATCCGAGAGCCCACCTATCATTATGTGAAATACAACAGTGCAAATGCTGCAAAATAGCAAAGAGGATGCGGTAAATAAAACTTAATATTGTTTAAGCATTTACTCAAATAAGTTTTAAATAGTCTTTGCGGTCATTGTCGTGCCAAAATATCGAAATGGTTTTAGTGCTCGGTAACGTATAGCTGTGGAAACGCCTTGATTTTTTTTTCTTTGCAATTTCGTGCAAATCACGTGCCGCCAGTTGGTCTGGGAGTTCCAGTAACCTCAACAAATCACGACACGACTCCGAATCAACCTCAAACTGACGGACACAAGCTGACTCCGGTATAGCAGATAGCTCTGTTTATATCCACAGCGCCTGTATCTGAGTTGAGCGGGGCCAGATCTCATGACCCCCCCCCCCCCCCCAGAGCAGAGGGCAGGACCCCGCGACACTGTCACTTCGCCCCCGGGCCAGACCTATGGACGACTGGAGGGCAGGCCTTGAGCAGGGGGCGGCAGCGTGATCGAGGGTATTGATGTTTGTTTGTGCAGGGCATCTGGTCGAGTTTGCTTTTCGATGGCCGCGTGGTACTGCATTCTTTGTGCAGATAAAGGATTGTGTTTATCCTCGTATGTTTATCCGTATCAGTCAAAAGCCGTTGGTGTGTCTTTGCAGCTTTAGTGAAATCGCTTCAATTGGTTACCATTTCTTTCAAAACTCAGAACATAAAAATATTATAAGACCCCAGATTATCATCCTACGAAAAGTCCAAATTTAGCCAAACACTATCATAGTAATTCGTGACCAATTCGTCCCCAGCCCATTTACCATCACCATCTTCCAGATCAGCAGCCATATTACTTTAAAGATGCACTTCTCAACAACCCAAGTAACACGACCCTCCCTACACTCCCTAGTAAGACCATTTTTCCACTTCCGCCAGGCGCATGCAGTAGGGATTATCTCCAAACGGCGTGCCCTGTTTTGCAGGCACAGAGCCTCAATCCAGCCAGCACAAAAAGCTACACCAGTGCTGATTTGCTCCGATAACTCCACCAGGCTGGTTCCCATCCCATAGGCACCGGATCAGACGCCGCAAAAACACTCCCGAGACGTGACCAGGAGCACAAAGGCAGTGGCGTCAGAGTGACGTCATTGTTAGGATGTCTCCATACATGGAAGAACGGAGGCGCGGATATGGCCCGGTCCCACTGCCCCAGCCATGATCAGAGCTGCAAATTATAGACACGGGGCTGTGTTTTATGTCGGGAGGTAGAATGACAACGCAGGGAGGTTACATAACACACAAAAAGTGTCTGTCGAACGGATGTTTATCTGTAGTTACAAAACACAGGTTCACAGCTGAATCTGTGTGCTTTCTGGACACAACTGCGACCTTCAGTACGACGGTATTTAGTAAAAAGTAAGGATAATCTGCGTATCGTTTTAAGGACAGATCAGCTAGAGTTACGACAAATCGTGCTTATTTAAATCAGGGCCATTTCCGGATTCCCTTGTTGACCTCAAAATCCGCTAGATTCTACCAAAGGCGAAAATGGTGCCAACAATCGCTGAGTTCACTCACCATGGAGGTGGATGTTGATCTTGCTGAGCTTTTCCAGCCTCTTCCTCTCCGCCTTCGTCATGTTTAGCCCGTCCACAAGAACCTCCATGCTGCCCTGGCGCCATCCTGCGGACAAAAACGAACCGTCAATTAGAGGCTCCGAATGAAAAAGTGGATGAAATAATAAAATAGAGAGAAAGGGGGCTGGAAGGGGTGCAAGCTTTCTGCAAACGTAACATTTTAGCTTGTTAGAAGGAAGGATTAATATAACAACCATAGCTAAAAGTGAAAACTGCGCACATGAAAGCCGTGCTAGTCCATGGTGGCGTGAACACCGTATCATTTCATGGTGGATTACGAGTAATATCAGCATTGCACGCAGTGCACATTAGCACATTCGGTGAGCGGGATAGGGGTGGTATAACGGATACGAGTGAAAACTGGTGCATGGCACCGCCAGCGAAGGCCAGGATTGCATGAGACCACAGTTTTATGACCTCGAGGGTGCATGATAACAAACATTCGTCCAGTGTGGAAAATGTACTTTGACTGTCCCGCGGCCGGTCAGTGAGCCAGAGGTCAGAGATATTTGTTTGATCAGACGCCAGAAGGCACAATTCTGGCGCTGGGTGTCAGGGTTCCATGGGATCGAGAAGCCTACTTACGGTGAAATATATAGCCATGTTCTTCACAACCATGACGAAATATAGACAAATGGGGATGCATACATACAAAAATGAGATTGATTGATGAGCGATGCAAACAAACTGATGCGGACAAATTGGTGTCTTTGATATTCGGAGCACTGCATTCATAATCCAAGTGTTTATCTACGGTAAAATTTATGCTTTTAATAGCAGATTCAGAGACTTATCAATTAATTCCCATCCTATCTATTTATTGATCAATTAGTGGACAGAAATCAAGGGTCACCAAGTTCATTTTCTCTCCATTTCACCAGCACACCACGACTATTGCAGTCACGGCCTGGGCCGCACCATCTCTTGAAAGCAGCACGCACAGGCCTGTGACCCAAGCCCCGGCTCTAAACGGCCAATCAACAATTATGGCTGGCGTGTCGGAGGTGACCCGCACGGCACTGCACGCGCGCGGGACTGATCAGTATGTAAATGGCCGAGTGGAGTTAATTGCGGGTGACGACTGTATGGGACAACACACCAGGCGTGTGATTTCGTTATTCGTGGTGCCGTGAACGTGGTGGGACCAACACCAGCGGGTGGTGCATGGGAATGGTGCTTCGCGAGAGCGTCACAAATTGACGGATTTAACACCTTCGGGGTAACTGCGTTTGACGGAAAATGGGCGTCATAAATTTGGGAATAGAATACTTAGAAACTCAATAGCATGCCAACCACGCGGCATGGCAAAATGGACTTGATTTGACAAAACATAACGAAAATATTGTCTATGCGACAGAAAATGTCATGCATAGTAGAGGAGCAAAAGTTATTTTGAAGCATCACTTCAATCCGATGTAAGGCATTGTATCCAGCCCGGCTGCGCCAGCTATCTTATTTCCCACCACTCATCTATGATCGATTTGTCGAGATTCGTTTCAAATCACAAGTTATTTATCCATATTGATCAAAGGACTGAAAACACGCAGTTTACCATCGACCAAATCACACGGATGAACAATTCATCGTTCTTCCCAAATACCTGATTGATCAGTCGTGAGCTGTGGATTCCAGAATGATCGATACTCTTCTGAATTACAATTCAGCTTGATGCATTGGCCGATAGTCCCAAAACCATAATCAATGAACCGTCACACGCTTCACTCGTCTGACAAAACAGGTGATTCCAGAAATACCCATCAAGCCATGTCATATCATTCACGTCTTCCAGCTTCAAAACAACGCGCCTCATTTCGTTCCCGAAATGAGACTGTCCCGATCCGTCGCCATTCCGTTTTGAAATCGTCATAAATTCATTGTGTCCAGCTGGGTACCCTGTCACTCCTTCGCTTCCAAATACCCTATGTCCCTCACCGTCACCCAACAGAATCACCATAGTGACATCATCCTAAACATATTCATATATTCGATTGATCCATTTTCTTTTCCCATAATGTCACTCCCCCGCCCGAGCTTCTTCCATTTAACTGAACTGTCTCAGGAGGACCAAACCAACCGAAAAGCACACGTGGCATCACAAAGCCGCACGAACATAGCACGAGATAGGCTGTAATAGGGCGGCCCCCTCCGTCGTTTGAGTGCTCGTGGCGCCACGTGATAACCCATGGCGGATCGTGGCTGTTCATATCTCTACGCCACGTGACACCATGTTATTTCACGTGGCATCCATCCGTCATTCCCAACCATCCCCGATTCCCTCAGCGGTCACCCGGCAGTGCGGTCACGGTCGGTGCCGTCTCGACCCGACGGTTTAGTGTCACGTCAGGACGTCTTATTTACTGGAGCGTGTCACCAACCGCCCGTGTGGTCTCCCCAGGGATTGGACGTCGCTCAGAGGTGCGCCTCCAGACTTCACAGGAGGATCAGCGGATGATGTACGTGGGGTGAATGAAAAGTTTTGAGCCTAACACAGTTACAGGTGACGCAGGTTAATGAAAATTTGGCCACACATTTTGCCACTATTCTTAGGTGTGTACACCAAGTTTTGAAGTCCTAGTCCTTTTCGTTTCGGTTTTAGAGCCCGTTAAAGTGAAGAAGATTCCGCGTTCGGTGAAAAGGGAGAAAATCGAGAACCGAGCTTTTATAAAGTATTGCGATTTCAAAGCCATGCCTTCATCTGAAATTAAAAAGGACCTGAAATTAAACTTATTGGTTGTGGCCAATCATATGGCACTGTTTAGGTTTGAGCTGCTAATTTCAAGCAGGGCAGGAACAGCGTCCGAAATGAACAAATATCAAAAACGCCGTAGAATGTGACAAACTCGGAAAACATTGACCCTGCTCTAGGGGTGTGGATGCTGGATCAAAGACTGTGACCTCATCAGATTGCGGTAAGAATGGACATCTCCCAGGAGCAGGCTGGCGACATTCTTACTAATGGGTATGGCATGAGAAAGGTCTCTGCGTATTGGGCCTCTTGGCTTTTTGCTGCAGAGCACGACGAGAGATGTGTAATGACATTTGGCGCTAGTTGAAGCAGATTCTGAGAATTTAAAGTAACTTTTCGCCACCGCTGATAAACTGCGGGTGTTTCACTTCAATCTAGCATTGGAAGAACAGTGGAGTCAGTGAAAGAACGTCTCTACTCTAATCTGAAAAATTAAATGTCACAGTCACAACAAGGAGGAAAGTGTTCCGTAATTGGGAAAATAAATGACATGTCTTGCAAGTGCACTCCTTTTCAAAGGGCCTTACTGTAATGGGGCATTACTAGGATGACCCACCGATACAGCTTTGTTAGAAAATCAGGAAGATCAGAAGGGCAATGCTGACAAAATTGGTCGTGTTTCACCAGGACAATAAATCGGGGTATTTTTCACTGGTTGCAATGTAAACAATCAATTACTGAGCCTTCCAATGTATCGCAAATTGAATCTTTTAACCAGCATTGACATCCTTAGGGTGTCTATTTCCTTCTGAACCTAAAGAAAAAACTGACTGGATGACGCTTCACAAAAAATAATGACGTCATCGACACCGCGAGCACTTACCCAAAATAGCATGATTCAAGGCGCTTGAAAAGTGAAGCAAAAAGTGCTAGGACTTCACAATTTGGTGTCCACCCTTATCAATAGTGGCAAAACACATGACCAAAGTTTCATTTATCTGCGTCACCTGTAACTATGTTAGGCTCAAACTTTTCATTCACCCTACGTATAATCGAGCGACAAGCGTCCAAACGCGGCGGGTCGGCGAGGCAGAAAGAGTAGAATGGCGACATCAAAGCAGAAATTTAGATCAAATCGTTAGCGAGACTTTCATTTCAAATGAGGAGTTTAAGAATTATAGTGCTGGAGCTTATTGGATTCTGTAATTTCTTCCCCTTCCGAAATGCCTACATTCAGAAAGTTTACGAAATCGTTCAAGAAATTAAATGGCGTCATCAGTGTGTTAATCATCAGACGAGGTTGTGGATGTCAAGTACATGCCAGAACTTCGCAAAAAGTTCCGTCAACAGAAAAGCAGACCCAAAACTCAACGGACCGGCATTTCATGACTAACAGCTCAGGCGAAAACCACCTTATCATTACGTGATAAGAATTCCGTAAACGGTTGAAGTTTCTGCGGTAACTGACCACTACAAGTAACATCATTTGTGGTCAACGGCATCCTCTTCCCCTGTGACAAAGACTGCCCAGAGGCCAGACAAAGGCGACCCGGAAGCAAGCATGAGGTCACTTCTGCGCACCAGTTGCAACCGGTTATGCGTAAACCACCATCTTGGGAATTACCAACCTTTAGGGACATGTGATTTCATGACTAAGATAACAGTGTCTGTGGCTTGTGTCACTAAACACAGCAAGTAATACGGATTCGTTCAAAGTACCTTTTGCGTTGACCATTTTTGCCTCGTTTCCTTTCTCTTGCGCCTTTCATCAACCCGTCTCATTATGCTCACGAAACTCGCGTGACCATTTAGCCGCCTTAGCGCGTCAGAAAGATCATTTATTACGATCATGCGTGACGTATGCGTGCGCTCAGCTATATCCCACATCATTTACATTAATTCACAAGTCAGTTGCCGACGCTGGAAGAAGAACCGCGAGAAATGTGACGATTTGTCAAGTCGATTACGAATATATTATTACCAGCGACAGCAAGGATGAAAAAGGATAGGTAATGAGGATATTAGTCGAAATGACTTCCACTGATTGATTGCGGATGAAGGTCTGTCAGAGCGAATAAATTTAGGAGTTCAGCATGTTTCCATGTTATAGTGGTTTTACTTAGCGTAAAGAGCTTTGTTACTGTGAAACTTACGAAGAAAAGTGAGTTTAAAATCTAATATATGAGTCACGGACTCCCGGTCAGCGGCGCGTTTGATGGTGAAATTTCCCGGGCGATTACAAGATAGCAGGTAAACAACATTAATCTCCAAGATGCCTAATCCAATCAGATCAGTACCGCTCAGATTATTCATGAACGTCGCCTTGGCTACAGGCGCGCACGTCGCTAGCTGTAAAATTCCCAGAACTTGTCCACACATCTCCTCCAGAACTCAGTCCTGAACATGCAGTCACGTTTTCGTTTTCATTTATCATCTGCATGATGACCTGAACACGATCAATTCCCACAAATAAACGGGAAACGTGAACGTCAGCATTCTTCGCCAATCAGCCAATCAGGCGGCGCCGCGAGCTCCCGGAGGGTGACGCAATATGGCGCTCGAATTGCGGCGTGTCAGGGGGCGTATGGTCACCAGGCTGAAAGCTGGTTAGTCATAACAGACCGTGCGATGGCCTGCTCGTCAGGATGTCAATCATACAAGCCAATTATCGTAGACACTAACGACTGCAGAGTCGAACGTCGAACGGGTATGCGCTACGTAAATAACACATGGCTCTCCTCAAAGGATAAGTGAGATAAATGATCGAGAGGTAAATATATCGTAACAGCAACAATTAACCCTTCCACCATGCCTTTCAGCTTTCACCAATAGTACTAGTGAGGCACATTCATGCAGAGTTAGGTAAGCTAGCAGCAAAAAGTACTCCTCACAGCACTTTTCTCGGATGTAGCAATCTGCAGTTTCACATTATTTGCCAGCAGATTCATAAATGTTCCACTGTTATTCGAAAATAGGCCTTGGACCTTTTTAAGGGATTATTGGGAACATTGGGATATTTGAGCTAAATTAGCAGATCAGCAAAAAGGTATAGGAACCAGAACAGGCCATAACAATCTACGTAGGGTGAATGAAAAGTTTTGAGCCTAGCATAGTTACAGGTGACGCAGATAAATGAAACTTTGGTCATGTGTTTTGCCACTATTGATAAGGGTGGACACCAAATTGTGAAGTCCTAGCACTTTTTTCTTCACTTTTCAAGCGCCTTGAATCATGCTATTTTGGGTAAGTGCTCGCGGTGTCGATGACGTCATTATTTTTTGTGAAGCGTCATCCAGTCAGTTTTTTCTTTAGGTTCAGAAGGAAATAGACACCCTAAGGATGTCAATGCTGGTTAAAAGATTCAATTTGCGATACATTGGAAGGCTCAGTAATTGATTGTTTACATTGCAACCAGTGAAAAATACTCCGATTTATTGTCCTGGTGAAACACGACCAATTTTGTCAGCATTGCCCTTCTGATCTTCCTGATTTTCTAACAAAGCTGTATCGGTGGGTCATCCTAGTAATGCCCCATTACAGTAAGACCCTTTGAAAAGGAGTGCACTTGCAAGACATGTCATTTATTTTCCCAATTACGGAGCACTTTCCTCCTTGTTGTGACTGTGACATTTAATTTTTCAGATTAGAGTAGAGACGTTCTTTCACTGAATCCACTGTTCTTCCAATGCTAGCTCGAAGTGAAACACCCGCAGTTTATCAGCGGTGGCGAAAAGTGACTTTAAATTCTCAGAATCTGCTTCAACTAGCGCCAAATGTCATTACACATCTCTCGTCGTGCTCTGCAGCAAAAAGCCAAGAGGCCCAATACGCAGAGACCTTTCTCATGCCATACCCATTAGTAAGAATGTCGCCAGCCTGCTCCTGGGAGATGTCCATTCTTACCGCTATCTGATGAGGTCACAGTCTTGGATCCAGCATCCACACCCCTAGAGCAGGGTCAATGTTTTCCGATTTTGTCACATTCGGCGGCGTTTTTGATATTTGTTCATTTTGGACGCTGTTCCTGCCCTGCTTGAAATTAGCAGCTCAAACCTAAACAGTGCCATATGATGGGCCACAACCAATAAGTTTAATTTCAGGTCCTTTTTAATTTCAGATGAAGGCATGGCTTTGAAATCGCAATACTTTATAAAAGCTCGGTTCTCGATTTTCTCCCTTTTCACCGAACGCGGAATCTTCTTCACTTTAACGGGCTCTAAAAACGAAACGAAAAGGACTAGGACTTCAAAACTTGTTGTGCACACCTAAGAATAGTGGCAAAATGTGTGGCCAAATTTTCATTAACCTGCGTCACCTATAACTGTGTTAGGCTCAAAACTTTTCATTCACCCCACGTATCCCTGGAGATTTCCTAGACCCATCACCGCCTTCCCTATCCCAGAGGCCCAAGTCCCCCTTCGCTAACATCTGCCCACATCCGTCAAATTCAAATCCTTCCCCTCAGAGTCCCTCCGCGCCCCACGGAGCCCCCGTCCCGCGCCCGAGGGCGGCAGGGGACCTACGTTTCCGTCCGGCGACTTCCGTCGCGGCGTCGCGCAGGGTATCCGAACTTCCGGAGCGACGACGACCAGTCCGCGATGGCGTCACATCCGCATAGAGCTGCGAGAGATCCGTGATGGTCTTTGGTCGGTCTGAGGAGCGATCTGAATCGTAGCTGGACGCTCCAGAGTCGCTTCCCGCCTCGCTCGCGCCGGCTGAATCGGCGCCGTCTGCTGAGAAGAGTCGCGAAGCGCGAGAAGCTCGGGCAACAGATGTGAAGGCGGCGTAGGAGACACGTTGGCGACGCCTAGCACGGGTTTCGCCAGCTTCGGGACTGGCAGGACTACTGGCGGAGGCCTGGGTGTCCGTGACAAAACTACACATGTTCAGTTTCTCACTCTGCGTGTCGTAGGCTTCAAATGTCATCCTCGCTTCACGAATGGGCTTGGCATCGCGCTTGACGCTAGACTCGCGACCCTGACGATTCTCGCGAAGAACATCAGCAACATCCGCAAGATCATCGTCCGATTCTTCACACACGGGCTGTGGGACTCTTCGCCGCACGAACGGCCTTTCAAGCTTCCGCAGCCTCTCCTGGAAGCTGCTGCGTCGCTGTACCCCAGCAGCAGGGGTCAAGGTTACGCTCTGAGTACGGGTCAGCCTCGAGGCAGGGCTTCTCTGCCGACGAAGACGTATCTTGAACGGCTCAGCAAGCCTGGAGATGAGTCGTGATGAGTGCGTTTCCGGGAGACGCACCCGCAGACTCAGACGCACATCTGAGAACCGGGAGCGATGCGCGAGGGCGTTCGCCTCCATGGGTCGAGCTCGACAAACCACGGGGCCATCAGAGGGACGACTCAGCGGCACTCCTGCCGTGCAGGGAAGCGGAATCGCCTGCAGTGCGTCTCGACCCTCGCAAGTGTCGCGAACATCGCGAGCAACCCAGGGAATGCGCGGCATAGAGCGACGTGTTCTTGCCACGCCGTCCATGGTGTGATTTCTACAACTTCTTCAACAGGTTCAACGGCAGAATTCGTTACGGTCCAGTTTCTTCAGAAAGGCCAGGTAACCTCGGATGAAAATGAAGGACAAAGGGCAAAGGTCACCCGGCTCAGTTGACAGATAACTCGCTCTCTGCAGTTGCGGTTCGTTGCTAACATTTCCGGTTCACCGCCGGAGCGAAACGGTCACCCGAATCGACACGTCCGTTTTCGCGGCACTCCCAGATCTGTTTCACATCAACAGGGCGAGATAAATCGCAGTTCTGTGGATAGAAGAGACCACGTCGCCTGCGCCTCGGCTGCTTCAGAGATGCCTGCGACCCAGTTCGGTTTGAATGACTCACTGGTTCGCAGAAGTATTGAGTTCACTAAATGGTGGGAATACAATGTTCACTAGTGCGGCGTGAGAAAGGTCACAGCGGCTAACGACACTGGCGACATTGAAAGTGTTCGCTGAATGTCTCCGAAATCGAGCACCGCCGCCTCGACGACTGTTCGATTTTTCTTCAGAAAATCACACTGTCTGCACCATTAGAAACGTCCAAACATCGTTCCTTTTCCCACTTCGCTGACAGTAACACTGACACTTTCACGCTGTCCAAATCACAACACTCGCGGGGTTGACACCGTCCAGACCAGACTCACTCCAAACCTCAGTCCTCCCCTCACACTGTCCCTTCACGTTACGACTCAACCTCCACTCGCGCCACGGCCCGACGTCCTCTCGTTCCGACGTTTAGCTCTCGCGCGCGAATCGGTCGCGCCGGCGCGAGCTCCGTTCGCGCGCCGCTCCGCGGGTCCACTGGTGCCGCCGGCGCGGGCTCGCCGGCGCGCGAGCGGCCCACACCCCTCATGACGTCAGAAACAGCTGTGCCGCGGCTCGGGCCGAGATTGACGGCTGACAACGGCAACACGGGCTGACCGTATGGAGCAAGGGAAACTTGACTAGAAGGCGTGATACTTTCCCAAGCTGTCCTGTTTTTGTTTTTTTCCTTCTTTCTCTTTTCTTTTTAAATTCCTTTCTTTTCGAACGATACTGCTCTCTAGGCTGACTGACGGGCAATGGTCAAAAACAGAGCCACGGTTCATATTTCATAACCTTCGTTCAATATGATTTGCAAGCTCATGACCTCTACCCAACGGACTAGCCTGGCAGGTTAGGGGTCGGGCGGTCTATGTACTTACGTACCATGACCCCCCCCCCTCGCACACAGATGGCTACAAAATTATCCACATGACAGCTTTGATGCCATGTTTCATTCAGCCAAGCTGGTCTTTGTGCTGCAAGTGCACGAACTGACTGCGCTGCTTCGCGTCTTACCACCCGTGGACCAGGGATTGATAGGGTTTGCAGTTTGTGAAACAGACACGCGCCTGCTTGCATGCCGCTTTTGCAGGGGTGCGAGCTAAGAGGGGAGCTAAGCTACGGAAAGCGAGACGAGGGTTGGAAGGGGAGGGGAAGGCAGAACGTGATGCAAAGCTGCAGTAAGGTATTTCCTGCCTTAGGTATGTGGGAGGTATGTGCCGCGTGGTTCCTGCAAAAACAAGTGGACTGAACAATGGCACGAAAGTATGCGGTAGGGAGGTAAGGTCATTTTCCTAATCACACGTCCACTGCCCAGTTTATGGATTGACCCTGGCCCAGGTAGGCTTACAACAGCTTTCAAGATTAAATGTTTTGGGGAAACGTCGCATTGATCGGTGGCTTATAGTGCGTTGTGTTGTTTTTACTTAGGTTAATTAAACGTCTTGCTGTAATTTACCACAGCTAAGTGCGGTACTAAAGGTCAGTGTTCTTGTTCCGCATAAAACTAAACAGTAAAATATGATCTAAAGTTTTAGTGAGTTGAATCAATAGTTCATAAATACTGAACAAACTATTCCTACAGTTTACTGAATGACCACAGTTTTACGGGCCAATCACAAATTTCAAACAGTTTATCTACGATCCGGGCCTGATCATTCCCAGGCCATCACCGCCCCGGACAGTTGACATAAAGCCCTGGGTGGCCTGTCCGACGGGCTTTACTGCTTTATCGACGTTATAGTCAGCTCAACTCGCCCCAGTCCTAGGAGGCGTATCGACCAGCGAGGCTTTTCCAGTTAGGAAGAATTCGACGCAGACCGTCTCGTTTCTGGGCATCATTACCGAAGATGGACGGCTCACTTGATGTCAGTTTTCTGCTGAGACACTAAATATCACCTGACGTTACTTTACTGCAGAAACACCGAATATCACCTGACGTTAGTTTTCTGTTGAGACATCGAATATCACCCGACGTTTGTTTTCTGTGAGATGTCATATCTATCGACGTCAAAATATGGGTGCACAGTGCACACTGCATCGTGCACACAAAGTACCTACAGACAATCACTGTTGCCAAAAAAAAAAACTGTGCACATCAAACCCTACTTTACCGATGCATATGAGAGAGCCAAGCAGCATTTAACGCAATGACTGCTATCGGGCGAGTGCATTTTAGGATAGCGTATCGCAATTTCAGACAGCTTTCAGCGGTTGACCTCGAATTCAAATCAGTTCCCTGCCGAGGTAACACATGTCATGACTTAGATAAGGAAGACATCACCGTAATGGGTATCTTCAACACTTGTAGCCCTGTCATTTGGGGTAACGCCAGTCACCAAATGGGTCTACGGCTGGGTCCTTGGCTGTGCATGAGAACGAGGCTACACTTTATGCACCGAGCACGCAGTACATGGCCGGGGTGACATGGGAGCAACATGCACTTTACTAGACTTGTCACTCCTTGCTCGACAATTGTCAGTAAATAGACCTGCCATTTTTTCGCAGGGGACTAGTCAGGTCGTAATACTAAATGAGATTCTGTCATGAATATGAAAATTTGTTGATGTTATTTTTTGCTGTTTGAATTAGCGTTTTGCCCACACGCATTTCACAATAAACGAAAGATATGTAAGATGCACAAACTGTTTGGAACACAAATGTCAGTGAGGTGCTTTTATACAGTAGGCTAAATAGACATCATCCAACAGCGCCTTTCGGGGCTTCCATCATTCATGTCCAAATCCTTAATACGTTTTATCTAAAACCAGCATAACGTTGATAAAAATGAGAGGCGGAAACCTGTACCCGTCTTATAACATTTATGTTGGATCCGTAAACAAGACCCGCGCGGCGTTGTGGAAAGTTCTGGACACACATTTCTAGCGTCTTATTCTGCAGCTATCGCTGACACGCCAGCACATCCACACCACAGCGGTGGCTGAGCTCCAGGGCTGGAGAAATGATTTCAGAGGTGGGGGGGACTAGGCCTCGAGGGGCCCTCAAGGAAAAGGGCCCCAAGTATCTCAAAGGGCCCAAAATCATATTACCTTCCAAGGGCGGATCTAGGGGAACGTTTGGGAGGGGGTCACAAGTCGGCCGACATGCCGGGTCTGATGGATGAATTCTGACGACCGGGGGGGGGGGGGGGGGGGGGGGTAGGGAGCGAGTATGTCGAGATCAAATGACATTTGACCTTCGTCCGTCGTTTCTAAGATGAAGTTTTATCGTTATTAGTCACTCGGCTCAGTAGTTTCAGTTAGTGAGAAACCCACATATACAGGGGCGTCGCTACGGATTTTTTACTGGGGGAGGGGGGGGGGGGGCGGATCGACGTACCGTAAAGTGGGGCTATTTGAGACAGTGGGGCTATTTGAGACAGTATTTAAAATCGCTATAAAATGAAGATCGTTTGATTTTTGTGTGATATTTTTGCTCAGGGAGGTGTGGAATCGAGCAGTAAATCGCCTGAGCAAAAAATTAAGCATACATTTTAAGTGGTTTTATTTTATAGCAATTCTAAATACAGTTTCAAATAGCCCCACTGTCTCAAACAGCCCACCTTACGGTACTTAAAAACCCAGAAGTAGATATAGTTACCTCACTTTTAGCAATTAGCCTAATGCATTAGTAGCATACAGTAGCGATCTCTCTTATTGACCTGTTTATGAATCGGCGGCGCGAAGCGCCGCAAAAATTTGCAAAAAAAATTGTAAAAACACAGCTCTAAAACACAAATATTACAACCCTTTTAGCATGCTAGTACAAACAGGAGTTCCCTCACAGTACACATATATGAATTCCGATTCAATTGGACACGGTTGGTGTTATTACAGTCACGATCTCTATTATTGACCTGTGCATGAACCGGCGGCGCGAAGCGCCGCAATTTTTTGTGTTTGGAAAAAACGTTTGTCAAAACACAGCTCTAAAACACAAACATTACAACCCTTATAGCATGCTAGTACAAGCCGGAGTTCCTTCACAGTACACATATGAGTTCTAATTCAATTTGTCACGGTTGGTTGGTGTAATTACAGTCACGATTTCGTATTGACCTGTATGTACATGAATCGGCGGCGCGAAGCGCCGCGAAAAATTTGCAAAAATATTTGTCAAAACACAGAGGGGGCCTCCTCTCTACAGAGGACCACCTCTCTACTGCGGGCCTCCTCTTTTCGCAAGGCCTCTTAACTACAGAAGGCCTCCTCTCTACAGAGGTCTTCCTCTCTACTGAGGGTCTCTCCCTTTCAGAGGGCCTCCTTTACAGAGGGCCTCCTCTCTTCAAAGAACCTCCTCTCTACAGAGGACCTCATCTCTGCAAAGGGCCTCCTCTCTTCAGAGGGCCTCCTCTCTACTGAGGTGCGAGTCCTCCTCTCTACAGAGGGCCTCCTCTCTACTGAGGAAGTCCTCCTCTCTACAGAGGGCCTCCTCTCTACAGCGGGTCTCCTCTCTTCAGAGGGCCTTCTGCTTTCAGGCGGTCTCCTTTCCACAGAGGGCCTCCTCTCTATACAGGGCCTCCTCTCTACATAGAGCCTTCTCTATACAGAGGGCCTCCTCTCTACGGGGGGCCTCCTCTCTACAGAGGGCCTCCTACCTACAGAGGGCCTCCTCTCTACTGAGGAGTCAGAGGGGCCCTAGCGGTCAGACACAGGCACTAGCGGGCGGTTATTCAGGAAGTAAGCAGGAAGGAGAAGGAGGCCTCAGGAAGTAAGAAGGACCCTAGCTGTCAGGCTGGTCAGAGGGCCCTGAATGTCCTGACGTGATTTTTTGGATTCCCGTGAATTTCTTACGCCACCGACGTGATTTTGGCCCCCGTGGGCCTTCGGCGCTCCACGGGGGCCTCCTGAAACCCCAATGGGGGGCGCCCCGTCCCCCCTTGGGTACGTCCCTGGGGCCCACGCCGGTCTCCGAAGGTCCAAATTGCCTCTTGAGTCTCATACTGTCCAGTGGCCCGATGGTCTTATGATGGCCTTTGAGGTTTCTCACCGGCTTCAGAGGGCTCACATCGACCTATGAGGACCCCGCGCTGGCCTCCGAGGGCGCAAAATATAAGAAGGTAAGCATGCTGCGTAAGTAATGCATAAGTATTCCGGCATCTGAGGGACTCCGACTGCTTTTTGGGTGCCTACCGCCTCATACCGGTAAAATGAGGGTCTCTGACTCCCTACCTGTCTCTGAAGGTCCCATTTCGACATTCGAGATCCTTATTTTGGGTCACAGCAGAGGCCCATGCAGTTCCCTTAAGGCCCAATGCCGACGGTCATATAGCCGCTTCTGATGGCAACCACGTCCTCTTTTGAAGGCACCTCAGGGGTCACCAGAGGCCTGCCAGGGGCACCACCGGCCTCGCAGGGGCACCTTCGGCTGTCAGGGGCACCACAGTCCTGTCAGGACCCAGGGGCCCCAGCGACCTAGCAGGGGCACCACAGGCCCGCCAGGGTTACCACAGTCCGGCCAGGAGCACCACAGGCCTGCCAGGGCCCAAGGGCACTAAAAA